AAAAATAAATCCCTTACAGACATGCCCATTGGTTTATCTCTTAGTTAATTCCAGATCTAGTCAAGTTGACAGTCAAGATTTACCACTACAGGTTATTTTCACTCTTCATGCCATACAATTAATGATTGAATTATGTCACTTGTAAATTCATATATGCAGTACTACACTTTAAGGTCTTAGAAAGCATGCCTATTTGTGAATAGGATCTTTGTGGAGAGAGGTCAAGATAAGCTGATATCCTTAAAAGAAGATGGCCCAGTGGTTGAGAACACTTATTGAACCACAATAATCATAGTCCCCTTCTGGTTTTCTCACTTTTGTGTGTTCTCCTTCCGTTGAATATGGACCATGCTTATCCACTCATAATGAAAACAGTATAGGAGAAGTGACAGGATGCCACAAAAATATAGGTTTCCTCACATAGTCTTGTTCTCTTAAACCTTACTGTTTTTGAGACAAGGTCTTGATATATACTCCTGGCTTTTCTAGAACTTGTTAGATACTCCAGTGGCCTTAAACTTGCAGTGATCCCAGGGGAGCCAGCACTGTGCAGGGGTCTTCTCACTGCCTCATGAAGAAAACTTTACTATTGTCTCCCCCCATTTAAGTCACTAAATGAGACTGATAGCTGAAGTACCAATCTGAGCAATGCTTACATTTCTGACCCAAATAAAATATGAACATGAAAGGCTTGTTCCTTTAAACTGATAATTAGGGAGCAAACAGACATGAAGGCCACAGATAACTAACAAACCTCCCTTTTCCCTGTATCTTTCTTGGGCTTCCAAAGTTATTTGTACAGATTTCTATCAATGCTCATTCCATGCTACGCATCTAAGTCACTCTTCCCAACTCAACTGTCTCCAAAAACAGGAACCCTAGCTCAGATAGCTTAGTATTTACTGTGTCTTATGCAAAGTCCAAGGCACAGATATTCTAATTTCCAAATTAGGCTACTTGAATCCTCTACAGCCCCAATCTTGGGCATTTTCCTAGTCTCTATGAAATCTTTTAAAAAATACAACCCTGATCATTTGAAAGCTTGGAATCCACAGGGCCTTACTATGCCTGGTTGGCTAGTAACTCACTATGTAGACCAGGCTGGCTTTGAACCTCCGAGATCTACGTTTCTGCTTCTCTAGTGTTGGGATCAAAGACTTACGCCATCATTCCCAGCTAGTTTGTTAAAATTTCATTTTTAAAACATTTAAATTATATGGTGTTGTGTTTTGTTTTGGCATGAATCTATGCAATGTGTGTGGGGGTACTCAAAGAGGCCAAAGGTATTGGATCTTCTGGAGCTTGAATTACAAGCAATTGTGAGCAGCCTGATATGGTACTGAGAACTAAACTCAAGTCTTCTGGAAGAGTAATACATACTCTTAACCACTGAGTCACCTCACCTCTCCAGTCCCCAGAGACAAAGTTGGATATAATCCAGGCTGATGTTTAACTCTTGAGTCTTCTGCATCCACTTCCCTAGTGCTGAGATTATAAGTGTATACTATCATTTGACAAGATCTAAAATCTTAACACTGTCTCCACAACCCAGCATGAGATGCCTGCTTGTCTCAACAGGGAAATAAGTTACTTCCCTCTTATTCCCACTGTAACAATGACATTGGCCTTTCATTTCCTCTGCTGAACCTTACTCCCTCAGTGTCTTTGCACACAGTTTCCCTTTGTCCTCTTTAGACTTCTTTCTGTCCCTCCTGCCTTTTGAGATAGGGTCTCAAGCTGGAGAGATGTCCCAGCTGATAAAGGTTAGGCTCACAACTAAAACATGAGATCATATCCCATGTAACCCAGGCCGGTCTTATTTTGTAGCCAAGGCTGGCATGGAACTTCTAATTCTCCTGCCTCTAGCTTCTAAATTTCTACTCGGCCCAATGTCACTTCCTAGAGAAGGCCTTCCTGTTTTCCATTCTAAATCAGAGAACACTGTGATTTTCCCTCATACTGCTTATAACAATTGGGAGTAAGTGATTGCTTAATTGGGTATTTAGTGTTTGTTCCCCATGTACTCCAAACTCTGAGGACAGAGAAACACTGTCTTGTTGCCCAGTGTATCCTCAGTGCAGAGCTGTGTTTGACATAGAAGGCAAGGGCTCAGCATACCCCACTATGTTCCCTCAGCCCCATCTCCTTTTTTACTAAGACAAACATGTCTTACTATCTCCACAAACTTCATATCCTTTTATTGTTTACAAATTTAATATTCTGAGTGTCATTTATCTGTGTCAATGTTATTTGCCATGGGTAATAATTACTGAGTACAGACATAACTTTAAAAAAACAAAACTAGAGCTAGGATTGGAACCTAGGGTCTTATACATGCCAGGGAAGTGATACGCCACTGAGCTATTTCCAGTCCTATTTATTTATTTATAAGACAGAGTCTTACTATGTAGCCAATTGAACTCTTGCTTCTATCTCCCAAGTACGGGGATCATAAGTGTGGGTCACCATTGGCCAGCAGGGACCACAACTTAGAAATTTTGTAGTACAGTCCCACAGTGAAGTCTTCCCGTGTGACCGGAATACAGCATTATGGAAGGAACAGGCAACAGAACTATTTATTAATGGCCTGGCTTATTTGTAATGGGGTATTGATATGTTGTCCAGGCTGGTCAGAAACTTTATATATAGACAAGGGAGATTCCAACTTGGTGATCCTTTTGCCTTTGTCTGCTGAGTTCTGGCCTCTGAGGTGTGTACCACCATGCCTGGTTGTTAATGGACTTTTCAAAAGCTCTTTGGTTAATTTTTAAGGGTAGTGAAATGTTAAAGAGGTTGGTCTATGTGGTAAGATCTGGGTTTGGAGTCTTATTTAATAGCTGTGTGACTTTAGGCAAATTGCTTTTCTCTCTGGTTCTCAAAGTACTCAACTATAAATCAAGGATATAATAATGGCCCCTTTTCATTCAGGCTGGGGAAGGGATTCAGTAAGATAATACAAAGCGCCAAGAACAGAGCCTGGTTTCAGGAAATGCTCAATAAATGTCAGCCATTCTTTTCACAAATGGTAAAAAGAGCACTTCTCACTTGGTACTGAAAGACATTTGGGGGTGCTATAAAATTCTCTGTGGGAAGTTAAGGTTGGAGCAGTTTAAAATGTAATGCTACCCCTTGATTCTTCTCTCTCTCTCTCTCTCTCTCTCTCTCTCTCTCTCTCTCTCTCTCTCTCTCTCTTTCTACTTTGAAGTCTTAAAACTGAAGCCACTGGGAGAAAGTAGCTTCTAGCTAGTCTCTAGTTGGTTTCAAATGACAGCAGCATGGGTTTGCACTTTCTCTCACAGGTCTGTGTTCACATTGTTTAACAACCATCATCAGGTGCCATTGTCAGCCAGAGAAGGAAGGCTAAGAGAGGGCTACTAGCTCAGCTTCTTGACACCTAGCAATCTGCAATGCTGTTTCTTTTGGAAGCCACCTGTGTCTTTGCTTGTTCAGTCTGTTGGTACCTCCTAGGTGATCGGAGTACCAGTAGGGCCACATAAAGGCCATAATCAATGAGAAAAGTCAGAACTTCAACAAGGATTTGACTCAAACCAGGGCAGCTACCTGGATACCACAAGAAAGAATTCTTCCTTGGGGGGGTGGGCATGGATAAACATGTCATTTTGTCTCTGCATAAGACCCAGTATTTTATTTCCTAAAGGCACACTCCATTCTCCATACAGCAAAAGGTAGGAAGCCAGTCCTGAGAGAAAGTCAGTTTCCTCGCCCTTTTAGAAATCTCTCGGAAGAGCTGCCAAGTGTATAAATTCCTTCTTTGATCAGAAGATAAAGCAGGACAATGCTGTGCAGCTGAGCAGATCCCTACGGAACATTCTTCTGGGGCGGGGAAGCTAGCTTGGAAGTGCCAGTGTACAGAGGAAGGTGGGGTTGGTGGACAAGTAGGGAATGGGAGAGTACAGGCTGCTCCTGGACTTCCCCCACAGGATAGCTTTTTGTTTTACTTAGCTAGTACTAGACACTGAACCTAGACCTCACACATGCTAGTTAGGTGCCACTGAGCTAGTCTCTGCCCTGGTTTTGTATTTTATTTTATTATTTTGAGACAGGTTCTAAACTGCTGCGCTTAAGTAATCTCCTGCCCTAGTCTCCTCAGCTTGGACTACAGAAAGATGCCACATTCTCTTCTTCCAGTCTCCAGAAGTGCAGGCATGTTTATTTAAACAAAACGATCAGAGGTCTCCCCTTCCCTAATACAAGAACAGAGAAAATGTTGAGGATAAGCTTCTACATTCCAAATCCCAAGTAGGCACTGCCAATTTTATTTTGCCACCCCTCTCCTCGGTAGTTACCGACTGTTCTCTTTTGCAATCTGTAAAACGCGAATAATTTCCCCATCTGCTTCACTTTTGAACCAGACAGCGGAGGACTAAACGCTTTACAAGCACAATTCCTTTCGGTGCTCACGAGAAAGGTATGATTACTATGGGGCCTGGGTGTGATGACTGGTCGAGCGCTGTTATTATCAGGCAGCCTTCCTCTCCCCGCCTCAGCAAGGCTGTCTGCAAACACCGATGCGAGAACGCAGGCACGCATCCAGCGCTGTACAGGACCCACGTGATGAGCTGCTAACTACAAACTTCGAAGCACCTGAACGTCCGCGATAACTGCTGGAGAGAATGAAAGATTTCGTCCTGGCTGTTCTTTTCTGTCTTCCAATCCGAACTCATCTCCGGGCGGCCTGGGGCTGAGATTGTAAACCAGACTGCCGCAGGCCAGAGGTCGACGGCGCGCAGTGCTGAGAGAGGGCCCGGGAACAAAGGGCGCTTGGAAGTCCAAGGCGAGCCAGGGGGTCCCAGAGTAGCCTCTCCGAGAGGCCCCGAACCGGGACCAGACACCCATTCCTCGGGAAAACCACTCCAGCCAGCAACATCCCCTCGGCGGCCTCGCGGGCCCGCCTGCGCCCCGCCCACCACCTCAGGTAGGCCGTCCGCGCGAGCCAATCGCAAGGCTTTCAAGCACGGGGGCGGTGCTTGTGCCATCGGAAGTGACGTGCAGTGCTCGGCTGGCCGCGGAGTCGGTCGAAGCTCTCCTCAGCGGCCGGCTGAGCCAGCTGAGGCGGGGGAAAAACATGGCTTGGACCTTGGAAGGCGCGAAGGTTTGGGTTGCGGTGGAGACCAGGGCTCCCGCAGCGTGAGGTGAGGGGCAGCGGGTGCGTGTGGAGAGAGGCCTGGCGCTGCGCGGCCGCCGCCGGACCCAGAGGGGAGGGACCGCGGCCGCGGTGCCCCTTCTTCGCTCCATCCTCTCGGACTCGTACCTCGGGGCCCTGTCCCCCACCCGGCGGTCGCCAGGCTCCTTTTGTCGTGATCCGCTGGGCGCTGCTGTCCCCCAGGGGGAGGGGAAGCCACCCCCCTCCTCTGTCCCCGGGACAGTGAGGGAGCTGCCGCGGCGGGTCCCAGTCTCCGCTCTAGGCTGTTCTGGAAAGTGGCTGTTGAACTTCTGCTATGGCCTCTTCTTCCTCCTCACCCAGCTCTGTCTTTGGAGCCTCGGGTGGTTCTTTTTCTTCTCCTGGGACCCTTCACCTCCTTGCCTTAAAAAAAAATCCAGAATCTATTAATATGTGTATTTAGCGCATCTTTCTGGGAAGGCATTAGAGTAAGCATAATTTAACTCTTCTGAGTGACTGGGGAACAAGAAATAATTGAAGAGGAGGAAAAGTGTGTATGGTATAGTTCTTTCCCTGTGTTGTCCTGATGGAAGGTGAAGTTCTAATTCTTATATTTCTGTTTTAGACAGTGGGTGTTTGAATTGAGTGACTCGAAGGAAGCTTTCCTGTTTGAGCAAGATTACTTGTTAAAGAGGTGTCCCTAAATCTTTTCAGGTGGGTGTCAGGAGGAAAATCTGTCTTGGTGAAAATGATTGAATGTATGGGAACATCACAAGCCACAAGGACAGGGGGAAAAAGCTATTCTTAGAGGGCTGGTGAAATAGCATACAGGAAGAGAGGCTACATAGAGGTCCTGGAACACTGATTCCAAGGAAGACTTTGTACTCTTGCCTCCCTGATGATGGTTCAGTCTCCACAAGAAACCTTTCAGCAGCTCTGCTGTAGTTGGAGTTCGTGTGGTTATTCAAGGTTACAAACCACACTTGAAGTGCCTTAGTTGAGATTTTCAAAAATTTGAAGCTGTGTGTTTGACATTCACTGTTTTGAGCACTGAAAAGTACTGTGATTGATAGAGGTCTTTGTTAACTCAAACTTAGTTCCAAGTGATTTTAACATAGGTGCAAAATATATTCAGAACTTCCACAAATTCCATCAATGTTGGCTAACTTAATTCAGAAGCAGTTTGTCCTGGGAAAGTGTCTGTTGTCTTGGGCATGGTGGTGCACTCTTGTAATTTGCACTGCTTGCCTACATTGCAGAGCTATATGATAGAAGGGTGAAATTTAAGGCTAGCCCAAGCTACCTAGTGAGGCACTGTCAACAACAACAATAATATAGAAAATTCTTGCATGATTTGTGTTGTGTACATGATGCTTACAGTTTAATTTGCAGTCATACTTTAATGGTCTCAGTCTTCAGTTTCATAGAGCATATAGGCTAGCATATTTGCTTTCAGGATTTTAGAAGCAACTTTTTGTAATCAGTTGTATATTGAGCTTCTATTTAGAGCTCCAAACTTTCCATTCAGTTTAAAGTTGCTGCATATATTTCTGTGCTCAGGAGTAAATCTGGCACATTGTTTTGAATGTAGTAAGTAGCACATTCAATTAGGAAATTTGTACCTAAAGACAGTCTGATTTCTAGGAGCTCAGAGTTCTTACCATCAGACCAACCCCTGAGATCAGGAGAGGTGCAAAGCACCTTCTTAAAATGCTTCAGCAAAGCACCTGTAGAGATGAGCCTGAACTACAGGAGACCCTGTCTCCAAACAAAAACAAAGCAAAACAATAAAAAGGTTTGTGAACTGGGTGTGTAGCTAAGAATTGGTACAAGGTCCTGGCTTTGATCAGTATTTACAGAATAAAGTTGTAACTTATCTTGCTTTGATAAGACAATTTAATTTGTTTTTACTAATTTATCATATTCCCAAAAGAAATTTAAGGCAAGCAAATGATGGTGTTTTAGTGTGCTGCATTTACAGAATTTGGTCATTTGTTTAATCTCAACCCTCCCATTCCCCCCCTCCCTACTAGGGATTGAATCCAGGACCTAAGCAAGCTCTCTACCACTGAGACATATCCCCTTTAGTTTGGTGGTTTCGTTTTATAGTTGTAACTGAGTTGGGCCACAAACCCACCCTCAAAAACTGGGGAATGAGTAGGAGAAGAGAGAAGGAATGCAAAGTAGAAGTTGTTGTCTAGTCTACCTGGGAAGACAGTTTAGCAAGTTCTAACACTGAAGTTATAAAGACAGTGGTAGATTCAAAGTGCTAAGAAGGATGTGATCTGGGAGGGGAGAAGAAGAAATGAGTGGGTCTCATGAGAAAGATTATGCTCAAATTGAGGCTTGCAGAATGAGTTCTTTCTATTAATGAGGGCAAGATGGATAAATGTGCTCAGGTTCTAAGATCTTTTCCATTACCTCCCAGTGGTAAGGTAATTGAGAAAAGTCTTAATAACTCTGGTGTTTATTTGATAGTATTCATATACAGTGCTCTTTTAGTGGGAATCATGGTCTCACTTGGAAATACTGCCCTGAAGAGGTGTTGTCTACATTGTTCATAGGATTGTGGTTGAGGCTAAAAGAAACCACTTAGTTTCCTTACTTGTGTGGGAGTCACAGTTTTGTTTGCTTGCTTTTGTTGTTGTTTTGAGGTAGGGTCTCTCTGTGTATCCCCTGCTCTCCTGGAACTCACTATGTAGACCAGGCTGGCCTTGAACTCACAGAGAGTCATTTGTCATTGCCTCCCAAGTGCTGAGATTAAAGGCAGCATGAACCACCACATCTGGCCGTGAATCTTTATTTTGTGCATGTATGTATACCTTGTATTTTTTTGCAATCATATTTCTTGATTTAAAATTTTAATTTCATATATGTAATATACTTTAATATTTCCACTCCCTCCTGTTAGTCTCTTTTTTTATCTCTTCCTGGTGAACCATTTTTTCCCCCAACTACTTTCATGTCCTCCTTTTTCCCTTTTGTGGGAAATTTTAATTAAGGTGTCTGCAAGAGCGTGGATAGGTGGTTATTTACTTGACTGAAGACTGTTAGCCAGGGACTGCACCACTGACTTTCCCACCCCTAGCAACCATCCCTATAGCTCATTGAGAATAGGGTGGACTTATAAGTCTCTTCCCAATCCATGATGGAACGTTAATGGGCAGGTCTTGTAGCATTGCTTCTGTGAGTGATGGGTGCAGCAACGTGTCATGTCCTGAAGACTGTTTTACAGCATTCTTTCCCATATTCTGGCTGTAAACATTGCAGCGACTTTGATTGGATGAGATGGAAAGGTATTCTGGTACTTGGGAACCAAGGAATACCACAGGTCACAGTAAGTTTAGCAGCTTATAGCGCTGCTCCAGGGGAGGGCTTCCTGGCAAAGTTGTTACATTTGGTTCCAGTCCTGAGTGTAACTACTCCACTTCCCCCCAGGGGAAGGTTTCCCTGGGCTAAAGTGTTACAGCCCTGCTTAGCTCTCTGTGCTCTGGTTCCTGCTAAAAGTTATTTCTCTCCTCCGTTCCATTCTGGCAAAGGAAGGTCTCACCCAAACCTCATTCAAGAGATTTATTAGGAGGGAAGAATCCAGGAGAGTGGCTGGGTAGCCAGACAGTCACAAACTAAATAGACATGGGGTTTACATAGGGCTTCTTAGGGGCAGAGTTTTCCAGGGAGATTTCCAGATTGGGGATTGGTCACATTTCAATCCCTGAGCTCAGATTGGCAAGATCTCCTACTCAGGAATTGGTTGGTTTTCTGCACTGGTTCAGGGTCAGATTTGGCTCTGGTTTCAGGGCCAAAGTGTGATTCTTTCACTGGTCTTTTAGCCTTTTGGCTCTAATTTTAGGGTCAGGGTGTGTTTCTTTCACTGGCTTTGATCCTAGCAACAATGTGTTTCTTTGGCACTAATTTCAGGTTCAGGGTGCATTTCTTTGGTTCTTGTTGCAGGGCCAAAGTGTGTTCCTTTGGCTCTTCTCAGGGTGTGTTTCTTTGGCTGACCCCTTTCCCTACACTGGCTCTTAAGTTCTTTCAGCCTCTCTTCCTTAGTATTACCTGAGCTGAGTTTTGGAGGGGTGTTAGTGATGTCCTGTTTAAGACCAAGCCCTCAGCAGTCAGTTTTTAGCACCTGGACTAGTCATAAGTTTCTTCACTAACTTACATCCTCTTCAAACAGAAACTTCCCTGACCTACACTGAGAATAGCATTAATTTATATAAACATAAATATCTAGAAAGTAGTTCAATACTCTGTCCATTTAACAAAACAATAGTAATAAGTTTTCTCCTTGGGCCTATCATCCATTTACAGTACAAGTACAGTACAATGCATGAATTTCTCTGTGGAGTGGGCCTCAAATCAAATTAAAAGCAGTTGGCTGTCCCCATAACATCTGTGTGCTGGCTAATTTATGTCAACTTGACACAGGCTGGAGTTATCTGAGAGAAGGGAGCCATAATTGAGAAAATGCCCCCTCAAGATCTGGCTGTAGGCAAGCCTGTAGAGCATTTTTTTATTAATGATTAATTTGGAAGGGTATAGCCCATTATGGGTGGAACCACCCCTGGCCTGGTGGCCCTGGGTTCTATAAGAAAGCAGACTGAGCAAGCCATGAGGAGTAAGCCAGTAAGCAGCACCCTTCCATGGCCTCTGTTCCTGCCTCAGGTTCCTGTCCTGTTTGAGTTCCTGTCTTGTCTTCCTTCAATGATGAACAGTGATTTGGAAGCATAAGCCAAATAAACTGTTTCCTCCCCAATTTGCTTTTGGTTTTGGTGTTTCATCACAGCAATAGTAACCCTAACTAAGACAATAGCAGAGCCACTGTTGCACCAGTGGGCACATCTAGTCAGGAGGTTGATATTATAACTTACAGGATCCTTAGCAGGGTAAGAGTGTTGATGACTTTTCTCTTCTAATAACTTGCATAACGCCTTCTGACATGGTGAAAGGTACTCAGCAAGGAGGAAGTTTCAAGCTCTGTTGTAGCATGATTTCTGTATGTCCTGCAATCAGAAGTATTTGGTATCTGCAGCAATTGTATCTTATTACCTAGTTCTGGTTGGCAACCATGAGCAATAGCCAGTATGGGTTGGGGAGGGGGGCGCGGTTGGGGAACTTTTTTATCCAACAGACTTCCTGAAGGGTATCATATACCATCCCTTACACTAGGATTTTTGTTTTAATTTTTTGGGACATTATCCACTTGTGGTCTTACTGTGTAGCCCTGGTCTAGAATTTGCCATGTAGAGAAACCTCAAACTCAGAAATCTGCCTTCCTCTGCCACCATGCCCAGCCTATGTGTTGTTTCTGATGAGATGTACACAGAAATATTTTGACAGTTAAAGCTGAAATAAATACAACTGTGAACTACTTTCTGGATTTCTTTTTGCTTTTGTCGGTAGGCCCTCGTGAATCCTATGATGGCTTCAGAGTGTGCCCGAGGAGGACCTTGAGGTCTAGCCCCTCCTGCCTCTATCTACCAAATGCTAGGATGAAGTAACCCACCTTGGATTTCTTAAAAATTTAAATTTAGCTATTTGGGTATAAAATAAATGGAATTTTAAAATAACTTTTTAAACAGACTTGAAACCAAATTTTGTTGGCTTAGCTATTGGTATTACTTAACTTTGAGAATACATTAAAATACTATTTAATCAACATCCTTACTGTTAACAGTAATGCTTTCTGTAAGTCTTACTGTGAAACAGGGTCT